TGAGTCGGTCGATGATTTGTCGCATGTGTTGAAAACTCTTTCCAAACTGACGGATGAGAAAGATTTGGAGATTTTCCTCAACATACAGATGTGTAAGGGGAAAAGAGTTCTGGATGATTTTATTTGAAATTCGATGTACTAGAATGATTTTATCTGTAAATGAAGCATGCAGTAGTTTGTACGAATTCCAAAGATGGTGCTTTATTTTTATTGTTTATGTTGGCTTGTTGGACGAAGTATCTCTAGGTTAATCTATGTTGCTTTGCTTGTGGAGCTAATGTATTTTGCTGCGTACTTTTTGTCTACCTTCGTGATTTCACTTACCAGTTGATAATTTTATATCAGCAAGACCATATGCAATCTACTCACCTTGGATGCTAGTTAGTTACATGCTATGAAGAAAATCAACTAAAAGTCTACTCACAAATAGAGGGACAAATATGAACAAATCAACTAAAATATAGGGCACAAATCAACAATATGTTTGACTCTTAAAAAGTATAGTTCTGATGTTATCATTTTTTTGGGTTAAAGTTCATATTTGTGATTTAATGGATGAACTTGTTTTTGTTTTTTAATTGAGGATCTATTTTCGATCAATAAACAATTTACTATTAAAAACAGATTTCTTTAATTTCATGGATGAAGTTGTTTTTTTTTTCATGGAAGAAGAATCAACATCCAATATCGAAACTTTTATACCTGGGAAATCAGAATTCCAATGGTCAACAACCAATCAACCATATATATCTCAAATCAACACAACTTATAACATGAAACATTACAATTTTCATTACTAATTACACACGCTTATTGATGTTCATTGATAGGAGTAAATAATGGTCTTATTGAAGAACCATCTAGTTGACAGTCCACTCCATTACCAACTACTTGATAAGTCATTCCACAACTTGGAGTATGAACGTGAGCGGACGGACCTGCAATGAGTGTAGCCTAAGGAATGGGTGGTAACTGACATCCAACTTGGTACAACACTTTGAGGGGGTGGTATCATTAGATGGAATGGCTGCAATGGCATATTTTTCATACAAAAACGATTGAAATTGCATCGAAATACTTTCAATATAACAAATAAAGATATGTACTTACCAATATAAGTTGTGAAAATGGAAAGGGTGTCTGAACGACATGCTTATCTTGTCCAAGATTTGTTTTTCCCTATCTCGGTCTAGGTCCTTTACTCGAACTTGATGTAGTCTGCACGATATTAAAACCATTTTTATTTTCTATTTGTCCGGGTAAATAAAGGCAACAAAAAATAACATAATACGTTTGATTTTGTAGAATGTAAGTCCAATTGGATTTTCTTACAACATTTATTTCCTTTTCGAGCATTGAGGATCTTGTATACTTCTTTCACCTGTTTCATGCGATGCTCTAGATTGGGATCCTAAATGCAAACTCGACACGAAAATGCTATTACTATCGCATTTATAATTCGTAGACATTAGCTTTCTAGATTGTAACCGAATCCAATCAACTATTGCACGACATCGATCCTCATCTTCTGCTGTAATGTCCGCTAGCGTAGTAAATTCAGCAACCATGTTGTCATATCTCAACTGCCCTGGAGTGCTAACCAAACCATCATAGTTCACTGCAACCCTTGTGTGGGCTCTACTAACATCTCTCCTCCATCGCCTCAATATGTATCTATCCATAGACACACAACAACCATGTTTTGAACAACCAAACAAAGGTATGTGTATCCTCATTTGACAGCAATCTACATCCAAGCAGTGTTGATTATCCGTGATGATTTACTCCAACAAATAGGGCAAAAGACATGTTGTATTTATTAGTGAGGTAAGTGGTATCAAACGTCACGACATTCCCGAATTCCTCATATGCTTTCCTACACCTATTATCTGCCCAGAACAGATTTTTAAGCCGTGACTCATCATCTAAATCCATAGAAAAGTAAAACTCAAAGCACCGTGCTTGCATTTCTGAAAAGTAGGATTGTTTTGTTGTAGCATCTCCTTCACCTAGTCTTAATCACCTAAATTTTTTAGCATAGTTT